TGAAGATTTGGTCAATTCGCTCCAGAATTCTTAATACAGGTTTGTTTTTATGTCGTCCCGTTTGCTCTCCATTGAAAGTTGCCAACCAAAATGGCGGCCGGAATTAATTTCATTGTAAACCACGCCTTACAACCGTAATAGTCTTCCCACGCAAGCAATTCTCACTCTGGGTGGTCTATACAATAGTACAATACAGTACTCACCAACTTCTCTGCAAGCAAATCCAATGAAGTCTGGAACACTGAACAGCATAGCCTCACTCTCTGGGTTACCTCTTTCAACCTTAAGAGGAGGAGAGGGAGGGGGAGAACAGAAGAAATAAAATTATAGTCTTTGTGTGTCCTTACTCTGAATTCATTGTTCATTGATACAGCAATCTTAAGACGAGCATGATCTGATGTCTCTACCTATAGATAAAAAGAACAGGTAAGGAACAATACACTCGCTATCCTATCCTAGTTACCGGTACTAGGGGCAACAGGAGGATGGAATAGACGTAGCACGTGGCTAATGACGGTGGCTTAACAATTACAAACAAGTGGGCGTACAGTCTAATTGGGCGTGGTCAAATCATTAGGTAAAAAAGTAGTCTCGCGGGGCCAGACTCAATTTTTAGAATAGAATTAGAATTTTAGAATTCTTATTCGGTAAATTAGAGTCTGGCCAGCGAGACTAGTAAAAAAGTTGCAGACACGGCTCCTCATCTAATTTTTCACCCGTTTCCAATCCATGTGTTTGTACATCTATGGTTGCAGTCCACATCTTTTATAGTTCCTCCTAATTATATCTATCAGCCAGGCCTCAGTAAACGAAAGGACTGCAAGGAGGGATTATCTGTAATTTCAAAGGCCTCGACCACTGTACGACTGTAGCAGCTAAGACATTCACTTTACCTAGTCCTAGGCCAGAATAATCAACTCAGAGATTTAGTAGCGGTAGTGAGAAATGGCGAGGCCACAGCCCTGCTCCAGTTCCTATGACTGCAATACTGCTGCCTGCTCCCTCTCTCATCAAACTGAAGAGATCGATAACGAAGACCTCACTTCTTTATATTCAAGCGAGCCGATCACTGAGACAGCGGGAGACCCAGACCATAGCTCCTTCGTAGCTGCTAGAGCAAAAGATCAAGTGGAGAAAACCAGCCAACTGGTAACTGGAGTAATCGCTGAACAGAAGACTCTGCACCAGTACCACGGGCCAAAATCAGGTGTTTAGAAAACCATCTCTCTGACTGCAGCTCCAGATCAATGACAATGTACAATGTTTTTGTAAGATATTATTATACTTATTGTAATGTGCTTCTTGTAAAGTGATTCCCTGATTCAACACTTGTCTTAAATACTTAATGGTGATTTTAATGTGTAATTTTATTAATTCTAAAATAATGATCATTTAAATTTAAATTTGAGAAGTGGAAGCATATAATATCCCTAGCTTAGGATTGAAGAAAAATGCAACATGACTGAAAAGGCTTATCATTTTATTGTATTTAAATGATAAAACCAACAAGAGGACATCAGTGTAGGAATATGTAAATGCTAAGAGGGAGCACTTACTGTAATATGGTCAGATATGAAGTTAGGACCAAGCATGAGGCAAATAGTTTTCAGGGCATTCTCCTTCTTTGGTTTACCAGCTAATAACAATAAATTGATTATAATTGAAGCCTTTCCTCCCTCTCTCTCCCTCACCACTCAAACTGAGGACATTAAAGTTCTCATGAGGATCCAGCACTACAAGATCAGGACCAAATACAACACGAGCTGTCTTCTCTATGTAATTGTATACCTGGTATAAACAGCATATGTAGTGCACAGTTGTGATAAGGACATAAATATGGCTCACTTGGACTGCACAGTTACTGGGGCACCTATAAGTAACTACACGAGTTTTGTCACGCTTCTGTAAAGAAAGAGAAGGGAAAAGAGAAGACTGTGTTGATCTACCACTACAAACATGCTGCAAGTGGTGGTGATCTACTGTGCACTGTTTTGTTTGCTTACATATGAAGAAAAAGAGTGTGTGTATATGCATGAAGCAAGAGTACATGTACACTTTTGGTTGTGATAGATATGTATCTTACATTTCCCTTAAAGAGCGAAGGGTCTTTAGCTCCATCAAAATATGCAATCTTCCTAATACTGGCATCACCAACACCACCACCCTCCCTAGAATGGGAAATAAACCACAAAATACATGATTGTTATGATGACCCTCCCCTTGGAGAACAGTTAGGCCAACTATTGTGACAATTGTCATAACTACAGTATGTAACATTTTGGGTGACTGGCCATACAAATGTCAGTCACAAATATTAAGTTCAAGTCAATAGTCTCTATAATCATTACCAAGAGTCCATTGTCATTACTTTAATATTTCTTCTGCTAATGGAGTCAGTTCTTTCTCATACAGTTCCTCAGCAGCTTGCAGTAAATAAGACTGAGGGCCCAATATAGCACGAACCTATTGGACACACCACCAGTGGTAGTATTAATATAGTACTGTACTGTACTGTACTGTATTGGACACACCACCAGTGTTAGTATTAATATAGCACTGTACTGTACTGTACTGTATTGGACACACCACCAGTGTTAGTATTAATATAGTACTGTACTGTACTGTACTGTATTGGACACACACCACCAGTGTTTGTATTAATATATTACTGTACTGTACTGTATTGGTTTACCTGTCCTGACTGAACATTTCTAACATAAATCCCTTCATTCTCATTTAATGGAGTAGCCTTCCTACAGTAGAGAGATAGAAACTGTTAAAGCACATATACACAATAGCTTGACTATACTAGAGGCCCCATCACATTATTAGCCACAACTATAACGGTTTCCTAAGGCCCAAATGGCTCCTTTGACCGAACTATATGGTTTCCTCAAGAAATATCTGCTTCCTATACTAACCACCAGGCTTTGCAAACAATAACACACAATGTATAAATCCTCACAAAACAGATGATGGACATGCAGAATATTAAATTGATTTTATGAACTATACATGAATACTAACCTTCTCTGTATGTTTCCAATCTCAGTTCTAGGTATATAGTCAGTTGGTCCATGAATCATCCACCGGTCACCAGGGGTAAGATGGACTTTACTACCTAATAATAGTACTAAACATTACTTCTATTTTCTCCCATACAATGGAAATTCAATGATGGCATGCAAGTAACTTCAGTGCAAGAGTGTACTAATATTTCAATAACAGTTGAGTCTGCCTACCTCTTTGTAGCATGGGATGACAGTATGATTGGATAAAAGATTACAAAATCAATTGTTACATGTACATGTGTATATACAGTTACAGTTAGTTGAACTCTGTGAAATGCTTCAATTGTGTGGGTGTATGCATTCCAAACACAATAGCTCATTACTTACCATCTTCAGTAATATCGTCAAATTCCTCTTGAGCAGTGACAAGAAGAGCTTCATCAGATTCTAATATAATAGCATCCTGTATCCCTCTCTCAAACTTCTCACCTATGTAATATAATAATTATATTGAAATTGTCAAATTGAGATAAAAATAATCACCATTTAAACATAACATAAATGCATGTTACACAAGTATATTATGTTGATATGCATAATACTAAAAATGTTATGTTTAGTTACCAGGATGAAGGAAGAATGTCTTGGGTCCTTTTCTCAGTTCCCTACAGCCAAGACATGGTCTACCATCATCACCAAGAGGATTAACAACCACACAATACTGATGGTGAGATAAAACAGTTAACTGGACCTCATTCACAACCTCCTGTAGGATATAATAAAAATGATATAAGCATTCTGGATTGTTTTAAATGTATCCATACATTGTTTTGACTGTATGGATTCTGTGGTTGCTATTTTTATACATACAGTTGTTGTAGAGAGAGACCTGGGCTGATTGCTGGAACAGTCTTGTTAAAGCTGTTGTAGGGGTAATGCCTTAACAACACAAGAATAGTTGAGTTAGAGCTAATGAATGACATATGAGTCTATTTATTGCAATATTCATGGGGAGTATCTAATGTCATTATTAAGTATAAACATGGCCTGGGGATTTAAACCACATCCAGGAACGACATGGTCAGTAAAGTTGAGTCTTTTTGACAGTCTCATATAACACAAGGCAATGTCACCCAATCCAGTTCTATTATGCACTTTTGAAGTGTTTCCATGGTTAGAGCTCAGGTCTATCTCAACAACAGTTGCATGCTAACCACAGAATCCATACACTATATAATAATCAAAAGGAAACCAGGCCCTAATGTCTTGGTCTTGGTCTGGCATACTAAAGTTATAGGGCTCAATAAGCTTTCTTCCCATAACACTTACTATTTTATGTACTTGGACTACATTGCATTTGTATGACCTTGCCCTCGGGCCTGCGGCCCTCGGGCTCGGTCATACAAATGCAAGGTAGTCCAAGTACATAAAATAGTAAGTGTATAAGCTTAATCAGTGTTATGATACTAGTAGGGTTTAAAGGCAGTAGGTAGTCCAAGTACATAAAATAGTAAGTGTATAAGCTTAATCAGTGTTATGATACTAGTAGGGTTTAAAGGCAGTAGGTAGTCCAGGTACATAAAATAGTAAGTGTATAAGCTTAATCAGTGTTATGATACTAGTAGGGTTTAAAGGCAGTAGGTAGTCCAGGTACATAAAATAGTAATTGTATAAGCTTAATCAGTGTTATGATACTAGTAATGTGTAAAAGCATAGATAGTAGGTGTATAAGCTAGCTAAGGATGTGCAAGTGTTCCACAAATAAGTAACTTGATACACATTATCACTTATAGCAAATACACATTATCACTTATAGCAAATACACATTGTACTATTCATATCTTTCCTGTGAATGACGCTTCAATGGAGCTCGATACACTTTCTGCCATTTTTGTAAGAGCAAGCAGTTAAAGCTTCAAAAGTAAAAAATTGCAACCTTTATCATTCTTTTCCCAGGTCTGCAACTGTTAGGAGCCACTGGGGTGACGAGGAGAAGTAGAATTGATAGCTTTTAGCCTGTCGGTCCATTGTAGCAAGTGATAGTATACCTCCACAATGGCGGACTGAAAAGTTTTTCATTTACAGTATCCCAATGAATATTATCAAGAGTACATTATTATAAATCAAACGTCATTCACAGAAAAGATATGAATGAGAATCAACATACTACATGCTATATCTTATACTATAATAATCCTCACCTCCTCATACACATCAGGTAGATAAGCTCCAATATCCCTCACCAGCCACTCCTCACCAGTGCAACGATAACTATTAATAATTATTAATTAACTAGTGGGTGTGGTTAGTCTTACATTCCCTTAGCGTCAGTGAAGGCTTGACGAGCTCTAAGACGAACAGCATGACCAGGAGTTATTATAATAGGAGACACCATCTTTACTACTTGCTACAGGTGGAGAAGGAGGAAGGGAAGAGAGAGGAAACAATGCCATTCACAAAATAACCACATCATGTTTTCAAAAGCTAACAAAGTCACAATTTAGATAAACACATCCCTGACATCATTAAAAAGTCATACCATATACCTAAATATTATATTTCTTACCACATTACATTAGGACATTCATGAGTACGCCACTTTTTTACTTTTAATTCCCATGAGCCAAAGGAATAGCTGAATACACTAATTGTGCATCATTACATGCAAGCTCAGGTATGGACGATTTAGGTATGGATGTAATTGCTAAACTCAATTAGAGTATAAT